AGAGGAGAAATGTTTCCATATGACACATACATGTCTTAAAGGAGAACAACACTTCCCCACATAATTGGCTAATGGCAATGTTTTATATGTTTCTTAAAATGTTCCTATGCTAAGGTATTCAGAAAATCTGTACTTCTACATAGTTGCACATTTTAACTAGCCAGCCTTCAACATGAAGTTTGGTGAATACTATGTTTCATAGTTCTGATAGATTCATTAACAACTCATGTTCAGAGACAGGTCTCCTGTATTCCACAACAGTGGGCAGTAAGTAATATGTTCACTTGATTTAAATCTGGAGCCTCTAATTCTAATTAGACTCTAATCTAAGTCTAATTCTGTACATAGGCTGCACAAGCAGATAATCATTTAAGATCTGAAATCTCTTTTGCTTTAAAAAAAAAAAAACATTCAAGGAAGTTTGCCATCAGTCAGGAAGGTGTAGTTGGACATAAAGAGAGAAAAAAAAAGTAAATTAATATCCATGTATAATAGAATACTGTAGTGACAAAGAAGAGGGAAGGGAGCTGTGGAAGCAAGGAAAGACAAAGACAAAGACAGATGAAAAATTGAACTAAACTGGACATATCTACCAGGAAGAAATAACTGGTAAATTCTCTCAACTCTAGGTTTCCATATACCGTTTTAGATTTGTTGATCAGGTTAATGATTTTTCCACTGTTCTCCATCTCAGCATTACAATATATTATAATTCAGAATGGTATTATTTATACTGCTTTTCAGCCATATCCAAGGATGGGCCTCTTTTAAATGCTTTAAATGCTTAAATGGTTGTTTTTTCCTGTTCCTTTATTTATTCTACATGTGATGCAAATACATATATCTCTCAGGCTTAAAGTAAATTATGAAACAAAACATCCTGATTTGTTACATGTGAAATACCCAGGGCCCTGTCTCATAGAACCTTTTCTAATATCCCAGTTCTACTCCACTGTGTAGGACGAAGAGGCATATAAATATGCATCATCTCTACAGATCAAATCTTCAATTGTGCCAAAGTATTGTATTTTCTGCATGTGCATATTGTATATATTTCACATAACTGGGTGTCACCGGATTATTGAAATGGAAGATAAATTAAGCTTGCTATTAAAAACAAAGATGAGCAAAATCCGAGTTCCAATATAGGCTCCAAGCATTGTTTGGGGAGTCTAGTGCAAACTTGTAGCAAACATATTTGCACATTTCAGAATCTCCTGTCTCACATACAGTGGTGGCGGTTCCTCCTCTTCCTCCTCCTCCCCCCCATTCTAAAACTGCACATTTCCTATGTCTGAAGTTACATCATTACTTACACTGGAACTTTTCTGTCATGCCATCCTTGAACTTGACATTGTTGCTGTTTGGTTTTGTTTTTGCACAATGTTCAGACTCAGAAAGAATCTTATTTTAGCTGTTTGATTAGTCCTAGTTAGTAGGCTGCAGAAAGGTCAAGTTTGTTTTGAAAAAATATGAATAATTGATTAATTATCTCTTGATTCTTTGAGTTTTTTATGTTTTAAATATTTGATTTCTGTTTACAGCCAAGCATGCCAGAATAGGCTATAACGATTATTTAGATAGACAACACTAATTTCATTGATCCGTAGGATCAGTGTCCATTGATATGTTGATGCTTTGGATCCTCTACCAGCAGCGGTGCACAATGAGCTCAGTGTTGCTCTTGGATTGCTTCTGATCCACTCCAGAAGATCAGATCTCATACAAACATTCAGGGAAATATGTTTCCATACATACTCTAAAATATAAGCCACAATTTGGTTTCATTTCTCCTTTCCCCAGAGTAAGGAGGTTGCAGCTGGAAAAGACTGTTGCAAATCCTTGGGCTCTGATTATTTATCAATTTATTAATCAATGTTATATTCCTTTTTTTTTTTCCTTTAAGATCTGCAGTTGGTATATATAGTACTTCCTTCTCCAATTTTTCCCCCAGCAAGTTTGTGAGGTTGTTAGATACAGAGAGAATGACTGGCCCCAATTCAACTAGTGAGCTTCTGTGGCTGAAATAGTACTTAAATCTGATGGTTTCTATTTCTAGTCCAACATCTTAATCACTTCTGTATAGTGGAATTGTATTTTATTCCTCTCCAATATAGTCTTGTTCCAATAACAATTGAGAAGCAGTTATTGTGAAACTGAAGAAGCATATAAAATATTTGGAGAACAGCATATATAATGACATTGGAAAACTGGAAATTGTTAACACAAAGAATGTACAAATTAGGTTTTATTTATTATCAAACAAGCAAATTGAAACATGAATGTTTACACACGCAAACAACTTGTAAAATAGCCTGATGGTTAAGTAAAGCATTGTTGTGCATCCAGATGTGATTTTTTTTCCCTCAGAGCTTAGTGTTGCTAATGTTCCTTTATTGTTCTTAGCTCTCACTAGTAACATCTGCCTCAGCATTTCCCTCCCGCATAATTTAAACATTACTTAGAGTTTCTGACTAGTAATCAATGTGCCATTAGTCTTTTAGATAATATTGTCCAGGAGCAGGTAGGCACAGTCCTTTGATAAATTCTATTTGGAAATTCAGGAGTAAACACGGTGCTTTGAAGGACCAAGATAGGTGATAAATTGTTGGTGTTATTCAATTCCCTTTACATTTGTAAACCACTACAAATGTTTTAAGCTGTCTTGCTCTTTCCCACAATGAAAACAGAAAAGGATTGGGATGTGTCTATGTATATTTCAAAACAATATGCGAGGATGGGATGGGGGAAACAAATACTGAAACTTTAAAAGAGAATCTATTATTTATGGATTTCAAAGCTGTGGAAAAGTGTTGTCATTGCTAGCTGAATTTCTTGACAATACTGAGTGTGGCTTCAGGATAGTATACATTCTACTTGGTGAGTAGATCATTGGATTTTGAACAGAGATTAAAGTTCATTAAAGTTAAACTTGGAAATGTTTAGATAGCTGGACACATACCTATGTACTAGGACAAAGTTATGTGAACTAAAGATTATTAAAACAATTAATATACCTTAAAATATATAATGATCATAATCTTCTCTATGAAATATTGACAGTCTAAACAAGTCTTATCTTCTGTTCATGTCTACTTTGGTATTCCACCTTAGCTCATTAAAACAAATAGATAAAGAAGTTTAGTAGAAGCCCTTATCCTCAGTTCAGAAAGTACATAATACATCTAGGGCATATCCTTAGTGGTAAAGTCTACAGCTGCCCAAACAAGAAGGGCCCCTCATTTATCACCTATCAGGAAAATGACGAACAGCTCCAGCACTGGGATACCTGGGGTATCATGAATGTACCAGGCCCCACTTAGCTAACTCTGTTCACGTTAGCTTTTTAAAATTTTAAAATAAGAAAATAAATACATTTTCAAATTCAGATCATTTTCATTTATCATCCTTCTTTTGACAAACTGGAAAAAACACAATAGGCATTCAAGGGCACAAGAGCTTTGTCAAAAAGATTTGTTGTAGGAAAATGAAACAAATCATTATGAAAGAATTCCAGCAACTGCTAGATCTGAAATGTAAGCCCTATTTAGAGTGGAATCAAGGTTTAAATTCCTGTGCCCTTTTCTTCCATGCACATGGCGTAACAGTTTTGAAACAATTCTCTCTTGGGTATGAGGGACAATTTCAACATTTCCATTGTTTGAGTAACAGAGTTGTCTGCTTTCAGGATGTTTTCTTTTGATATTGTAGAGCTAGCTAGCTCTGGTACAGCAAAGTGGTTTTGGACCTTAACATGATGGTCTTCTGTTGCCATCTTTTAGAAAGCCATTTCAGTTGGAAATTGCATAACTAACTTTGCTTTCTCCATCACTATCCCATGTTTTGTGACTTGTTTCTATTTTTTATGTCTATAACCAGTCTTCTAAGCATATGCCATCTGACATTTTGTATTCACTCAAAACATGGGACCCTCATGTGGCTGCAGTATATTTCTGCAGCTCCCTTCCCCACCCCATCCCCAACAGATTTACTTGGGAAGCAACAAAAATGTTATGTAAAAATATAAAATCTACTTTGACAGAGCTCAGCTTCTACTGAACATGTGGAAATGTCCATGCAGGGAAGCAAAGTGATGTGTCATTGCCCTCTGGGGTGTTTTAGACCTCCACAGCCTTACCTACTGCCTTAGAATTTCTGCTTTTCTTCCAATTCCTAACTAGGTTCCTCCTTGCTTTGCTTCCAAAACAGAAAAGGATACTATAATAGTAAAACAAGGAATTATATTCATACGCACACTTCATCAGATGTGACGTAAATATGAAAAAAGGTTGTTGTTTTTTTAACTTATTTACTTGCTGCTTTAAAAACTTGCATGTATAGGACCCAGCTAAAGAGGACTTAAGACTTAGTCTGTAACTTGAAAACAAAATATTTTTAGCATGTCAATGAACAAGCCTGGCTGGAAACCAGGAAATAGTAATATGTGATTTGAATGGTAATTTTAAGTGCCACAAAGATATAACACTGTCAAATCACAAATTTTAATTCCCATCTAGACTGTGTTATTATCAAACAAGGATTATATATAATAATTTAATTAGTCTACAGGAGAACAAAAGCATTTTGCTTGATTCGATAAATTTATGACTGGTTTATTTTAGATATGATTGTGATGCAACAACTACTGAAGTTCTAGCATCATTAACTGAGTCTTAGTATAGTAATAGAGCAAAGATGTATCCTTTGATTCTATGTCTTCTTTATTCAGAGACAAGTGATTAGTTTAAAAATGTTATTTGGTAAGTGGCTTTTATAGTTTCATTGAGAAATATGACACTCTATTAATTTTTTCATCACTCCCCTTCGTCCATTTGTTATGGCCAAAACAAGAGGGGACTGAAGAATAACAGATGGGAGTGATGCTTGCAGCTACAATGTATCTGTATAATAAATTTAAATTTGACTATAAGTATTTAATTTTGGTATATTTATATTTTCATACAACTGTGTGGGTTACAGGCTTACACCTCTTTTTTCAGGTCAGGATCGTAGTGAAGCAACTTTAATAAAGAGGTTTAAAGGCGACGGTGTTCGATACAAAGCAAAACTCATTGGGATAGACGAAGTCTCTGCAGCGCGAGGTGACAAGTTATGTCAAGATTCCATGATGAAATTAAAGGTGCTGTGAAAACATTTAAATATTAATTTTCAGTAGTATTTATAATGTTTATATAAACATTATATATGCAATCGTGTGTTTATGTGTGTGCATGTATGTGTAATTATAGTTTATGTGGATTAATTTAGAAGCAATCTAAACATTTAAAATAATAAGGTCTTGAAGAAAGTGATCGCATTCTTAACTCTTTGAGGTGGAACAGAATATTTAGCTTCTTTACAATCCAGCTTCAAATCTTGAAACAGCATTAGAATGCCTTGTATGTCTAGTGAATGACCTCTCTTTGGAAATAAGTAGGAGAAGCCCCACGCTTTGGATTCTATTTGATTTGGCAGTTTTGATGCCATCAATCATGGCACCTTGCTGTACAGGTAAAATTCTACAGTTTAGATTTAGGAGGGCATGATATTAGAGATTTCTCTTTGACCCCATGTGATTTGTGTTTGCAGTCTTTTGTATTAGCTCACCACATATTTTAAAGTCTCTGTGAAGCTGCTAGGTGACATCCATATCTTGATGCAATCACGGGTGGGATGATGGCCACTAAATGGAGACTGAATCCTGAGTAGATGATTCTTACATGTCAAAATTGTGTATACTTGTTATAGCTTTTTCTTTCTGTGGCCCTCACTAATGTTAATAATAGACAGATGTTCAGCCTGGTTTAGATGGAGCTACGCTTTTGTCAAGCTCTCCAAAGAGCTTGGAGTGCTCTTTGACCTATTTGTGTCACTTGAGGTCCAAACCCATGTAGCCTTGGTAGCTAGGAATTACAGTTATCATCTTCATCTGGTTTATTGCCTACAGTCATTCCTTATAGACAAGATTAAACAATAGTACATCATGCTCCCAATATGATTAATATACAAGTAGTCCTTGCTTAACGACCATTCGTTCAGCGACCATTCAAAGTTATGGTGGTGCTGCATGAATTGTAGTTACAGCTGGCCCTTGAAGTTTCAGCCATTGCAGTGCCCCTGTGATCACATGATCAAAATTCAGGCACGAGGCCTTGCAAAGGACTAGCAGCTGCCTCAGCCAGGTGCGCCTTATCAGCAGTGGGAGGAAGAAGATGGTGAAGGTCAGCTGGGGCTGGCAGGGGGTAGCAGAGGTAGGTGTCGGCAGCAGAGTGCAGGGTGGCCAAAAGGGCAGAGATGGGGGGAGATAGGTGAGGGTAATCGAAGCAGAGGCAAGCATGGCAGGGCAGGAGAAACAAGATCATTGCTTAATGATGGTGCAGTCCTTGCCTAATGACTGCAACTGGGACTACTGGAATTGCCATCACTAAGCGGTATGGTCACATGATGTTTTGCCTAACAATCACTTCACTTAGCAATGGAAATTCTGTTCCCAATTAGGGTCATTAAGTGAGGACTACCTGGGGTGTATTGGGTATGGGGTATAGATGGTGTAACTGGAGAATTATGAAATATGACTATAGCATGCTTATAGATGTAACATGAGTGTATCGAGATACAACCATAATTACTTGTGTCACTGCATTCTGGACCAACTGCAGCTTCTGGATGTTCTTCAATGTGTATGTAAGCATTGTTTCATGGAAGGCACTAGGCTAGAAACCAGGAGACCATGAGTTCTATTTCTGCCTTAGGCATTAACCATCTGGGTGACTTAGACCAGTTACGCTCTGACTACCTAGAAAGAAGACATTGGCAAGCCACTTCTGAAAATGTTGCCAAGAAAACTTCTCCCATTAGTCACCAAGAGTCAGGGTTGATCCAGTGGTCCATAACAAGAACACTCTTCTCATTCATTCCATTGATCCTCCCAACAATTGGTTTGTGGGGCTGTCATCTTCATTTTACTAGAGAAAGTACTATGTATGTATGTGTGTATTATGATATAAATATTTGAAATGCCTAACTAGGCCAAATGTATTTTAACTGGTAGATATGTCATGAACTATTCCTTTTTAAAAAAATCATTTGATCAGATTCTGTGAATATTAATTTATATAAGCAGAATAGATCAGAAATATGTATTGAGTAAATGGTTGGATATTCCTATATGAAGAAGAACCCTGCTGGATCAGGCCATAGGCCTGACACCAGCATTTGGTATCACATTTTAGCCAACTGGATTGATTTGAGAAGCTCACAGGCTTGGATTAGAAGTCAACAGTTCCTTCCATTGTCGCTTCCCAGCAATCAGCATTTATGGCATGCTGCCTATGATTCAGGAAGCAGTAAACAGCCATCAATATTAGTAGCTATTGAGGTCTGGTCCTCCAATCCTTTTTCAAAACCATTCAAATTGGCTGCTGTTACCACCACAGCTGGCTGTGAATTCCATAGTTTAACTGTGTTGTGTGAAAAAGTATTTCCTTCTGTGAAATGACCTTGAGTTGTAGCCCTGTAAGAGCAGGAGAATTCCTCTCTATCCATGCCTTATTTTTGTATGTCTCCATATAAATGTGAGTAAAAATGTTATAAATAATATGAATTTAATATATTTAATGGGCAATTCTGTTCCAGAAGGGGGAAAAAAAGGGATGGGGAGAATATGCTGTAGAGAACATTCATTTCTTTGTTGCCTTGGGTTTAAAGTAACTTATGAATGACTGGCTATCCCAGGGATGTATACACAGCTAGCTCTGTGAATAAGCAGTAATACTAGGCAATTAAAGAGTTTATCTCATATGTAAGGCTGAGTAATTTGGAAAGCACATATACCATAGTCTGACAGTGTTGCTTACTTCAGTAGACAAAATGAAATATTGATGAATTCAAATAAAGCATACCAAGTATGGAGCCTGTATCTTTCAGATTAATATTACAAAGAATTATTGCAAGGAAAAATTACTGCAAGAATCTGTTTCCGTGGTATCAATATAATGTAAAATACCAATGCAAGGGCTTTCAAATATTGAATCTAATTTGCAAAACAAAATAATGAGTATCCAATTAGAAGAAAAACAGTTCAGTATATATCCCCAGAATTTACAGTAGAAGCCTACAATTGTCTGCCCCTTTTCAGGCCTATTCCTCTTCCTGCCTATTCTGCTCCTCCTTCTGTCAGATTTCATAGCTGTTTGCTGTTTTACACCAATCTGCTATCCACTTGGATTTGTCTACTTTCCATATTTACTTTCTAATTATTATTCTTTCCTATAGCTACTCTTCTCCCATAAGGTTGTATTAGGTTCAGTTTGAGCCAATTTGACAAGCTTCCTAAGCCACAAACATTTGATTAGGAATTGCTGACCAGTCGATCAAAAAATTGTCAGGATCACTGCCTACATGGTAAATTGCATAATGAACATGCTGTTATAAAAATTGACTCTACCAATCTATGTTAAGTATGGCAATTTTCTGAGAAAGGAATATAAAGGGATTCCTATTGCAGTCATAAGCAAGATCAAACTGGTCTCTGGCATGTCTTGTTTTCAGCATTGACTTCAGCTTTTTCTGTAGTCCTTCCTTCTGGTGTGCCTTCTAATCCTAATTGCTCATTACATCACTATCCCTGGGTTTGACTGCTTAGCCGTGGAGATTTCTGGTTATGGGTCCTGGCTCATTCCATATTGCTGTCCATGCCCATCTATTTTCCCTTCAGGTAAACACATCCCCTACCCTCAAAAGGAATGATGTCCACACTGATAAAAGTACTGTGTATCAGCCAGTTCTACACCGAGTCAACCTAGACTGGCCAGCCCCAGCTAAAACCAACCTGAAGGTTATTATGTAATGGAGATTATTATATAGAGTCACTATCATGAAATGGGCAGCCATATAAATCATCCACACAAACAAACTTGTCTATATATATAGTATATGTATGCTTGTACATATTAGGGCTGTGGAAATATTGTAAAAATCATGCTCAGCCGTATGCAGAAGCATATTCAAAACACCTCTCTTTGAATCTGAAAACTAACCATGCCTTTTTCCAGACTCACCTGGCTGTTCATAAGGGAGAAAAGTGGCAATACATGCACACACAGCTTATGCAGCAGCCTTATGAGCCTGGGAAAAGATATGGCTGCTCTGTTGATTTGAAGCGATGTGCTTCATGTGTACTCCTGTGCTTTAAATGATTTCTACAGCCTTGGCTGCTGAAACTTGCAATCCAGGAAGAGCAGGATTGGGACAAAATGAATAACAATACTGAATTGAATGAATATCTGTAGTTTAATTGAAAAATAATAAAATTTATGGTCCATTTACATACACTAACCATTCCCTCTCACACAGAGAAATAGATATAGACATGTTCCAGGGAGCGAGTTTGGTACAGTATAGTGATTAAGGGGCTGGATTAGAAACTGGGATATCATTTATTCTAATCATATCTTGGGCATGAAAGCTGAGTGACTTTGGGCCAGTCACTCTCTCTCAGCCCAGCCCAGCCTACATGATTGTTTTTGTGGGAAAAATAAGAAGTGGTAGCATTTATGTAGGTACCTTGAGTTGTATAAAATAGACAGATATTATGATTATGATTATTGTTATTGTTATTCCCTTCCAATATAGTCAACCAAAAAACATAAATAAATAAATAAATAGAAACAGAGGGGTAACTACTATAAGGGAAGGAAAAAGATATGGAGGGAAAGAAGCGGGTGAAGATTAGGGGAGGGCAAAAGATTAGGGGGAAAAAGGATAAATTTGAGAAGCTTACTTAGGTATTACAAAATGCATTAAGTAACTCTATCAAATAATGGCTAATCCTCAGAGGCATCTATGTTTTTCAGCAAATATGTCCTCAGTCTTTTGTACCTCTCTTCCTTTGTTTTAACAGCATATTCTGTTGTCAGAAAATGTCAAACAATTATTCGTGGCATTTCACAGATTTGTGCGTGTGTATAAAGGATTTCTTCTGTGATTAGATAGGATATTCTGCTCAGTAGTGTTATCCCCGTAGTTTAGTAAATAGTGTCACAAGCTTTACTGCCAAAAAGTGAAGCAATAGAAATTAATCACAACATCATAATTTAGACCATTAATTAGATAATTTTCATATGTCAAAATAAGCAGAAATTCCTGGATTAATATGGTATGCATTCACTTAGCCCTTTTTGCATCTTCACTCCACTTGCATAAATAGGGTGGAAAATTTTGAAAACAAACATATATATATATTGAAACCAGTGTTCAGCCCAGTCTTAAATAGAAATAAATATTATGCATATTAAATAGAAGTAAGTACTGTTTTATTCAAATGAATAAAATACATTGCCCCAAATCTCCAACTTGAAGGCAATGGGAAGCTGACAGTTCTTAATAGGAGAACACCCAGAAAAAAAAAATATATATTTTGAATGTGAACCATTTATTTTCTCCCAACAGGGAATTGTTGCTGCATCTCGTTCAAAAGGTGAACATAAACAGAAAATATTTCTAACCATTTCCTTTGGAGGAATCAAAATCTTCGATGAGAAGACAGGAGTAAGTAAAATAATGTTATAACAAAAACATTCTTGGTAGCTTTCTTCTTAAAAGATATTCAAGGAAGGCAATAATATTCCAATTGAATAATACCATGAAATATTTCATAAATTGTTAACTATAGATCAAAGCAATGATTTGAACGTATTAAGATGCAATTTATTGAATTTATTAAGATGGTGATTAACACAGAGGCACTGATTTAGCAATTCTACAGGTAATATCAGGACAGAGGTCAGCTAATATATAATACCAGTAGTATTCAGGATTCCTGGGGTTCCATGAAAAATAAGATAAAGCAGCAGAACCTACCAATCACCCCAAAATGAGTAATAAAGTATTATAGGTCTCAGCATTTTCAAAGGACCTGGGCATAGGTATTATAAAATATGTAGCTTTGGATCATTTTCCTCAATAAATAAATGAACAAGTGTAATATTTTTTATTCATTTGTTTAATTGGATTCTCTTTATCTAGTTTTATGTGGAGAACAGATCATGTTTTAGGTCATATTTATGCAGAAATACTGAAAATTCAAAAGGGTTCACAGACTTTTAAACACTTCTGTACATTGTCTAATAAGACTATTACCATCATTGATACCAAAGGACGAATACTATTAGGGAAGAAATTCAAGCAATGGAACATCTGCATCACGTTTTTAGCTAGCCTGGTTTGAAATATCTCATAGAATTACTGGGGCAAGACCTACAAGGAAGGAAGGAAGGAAGGAAGGAAGGGAGGGAGGG